AATGATGTCATTCTAATTGCCACATATCTCATAAATTGAGTTCCCTATAAAATTCACAAGTTCTGAACCCGATTAGCTTTTCTGATGTTATGGGTCCCTGCCAGTAGGATCTTCTCCACATTAGACCTTAAGATTTTTGGGTGCACTGCCTTTGTTCGAAACACTGCCCCCAATTGGAGTAAACTTGATCCCAGATCCATAAAATGTTTCTTCTTTGGGTACTTCGCCACTCAAATGGGGTATCAGTGCCTGATCCTACCACTAACAAAGTTTATGTGAGTTTTGATGTCTCTTTCTTTGAAAGTGTTACCTATTTTCCTAGCTTGGCCCCAACCAGGGGAAGTTTGGGTTCTTAGACACTATCCCTTATTCTACTCTTATGGATATTATTCCCATTGTTCCCACTACTGAAGAGTCCTCTGTCCCGTTGAGTGCTCCATCACCTCCTCCCACTGTCTGTGTCTACGCTCGGCGCACCCATCCCAGCACTCAAACTCAGGAGCCTGCTACCTTCTTATAGGACCTTAACTCTACTCTGGGCAACATCCTCAGCACAACACCTACTTTGAATGAGTTGGTGAGCTCTCCGAGTATGGTATACAATCAAACGTGCTCCCTCTATTCAATGACAAAATATGTGTCTTCCCACAATTTAGCGCCGACCTACAAAACATTTGCTATTACTCTGATGGACCATCAGTTCCCTGCTACTATTGAGGTTGCTCTTACTGATCCAGCCTAAAAAATGACAGTAATGGAGGAAATGAATGCCCTTCAACATAACCATACGTGAGGCGTGGATCTTCCCCGGGGTTAGAAGGTTGTAGAGTGTCAATGGATTTTTAGTACCAAGTTCAATTCTGACGGATCCTTTGAACACAACAAGACAATATTGGTCGCCAAATGATACTCACAGATGAAGAAACATTTGCTCCAGTGGCTAAGTTAAACACTATTTAAGTCCTGTTGTCACTTGCAATGAATATGGATTCACATTTATTCCAACTAGATGTTAAGAACATATTCTTGAATGGTGAGCTGACAGAAGAGGTGTACATGTCTCTCCTTCTGGATTTTGATTTTACTGGCTCTAGAGGACAATTATGCAGGCTACGAAAGTCCCTTTATGGGCTAAAACAATCTTTAAGTGCCTAGTTCGGGAAGTTCACAAAGGTGGTCATGGGCTATAGTTTTACTCAGGCTCAATCAGATCACACTCCTTCCTGTATTCCTCCAATGGCCAGATATCTAACCTTATTTTCTATGTTGACAATATTGTTCTTACAGGTAATGATCTCCCAACACTAGAGTCCTTGAAAGACATTTTTGCTAAATGCTTTGAATTGAAGTATTTGGGATCATTCCGGTACTTCTTAGGCATGGAAATGACTTGATCATCTCGAGGTATTTGTTTTTCTCAGCGCAAATATGTGATTGACCTCTTGAAAGAGAGCAACCTTCTTCTGTGCAAACAAGTGGCTATTCCTATAGATCTAAATGAAAAATTATCTGACATTCCCAATACTGTATTTGTCAACAAGACTCACTATCAACGCATTTTGAGGAAACCCATCTACCTCGCTCATACTCGCCTTGACATATGCCATGCAGTTGATATAGCGAGTCAATTCATGCATGACCCTTATGAGCACCACCTCCAAGCTATCCATCGGATTCTCCACTACTTAAAGGGTACACTGGGCCAGATTTATTTTTTTCTCACCACATCTCTCGATCTATTGCTGTGTACCATATGTTCTAGGACCTAAAATGTTTGTGGGATAAATTTGTAGGGAAGCACTGAATGAGGATGCAATTGTAATATGAGCGGGAAAGTCTTAGATGGGTAACCTTGCAGTTGAAAAATGAGTAGAGCCAAGCAACCAGTTAGGGTAAATTAATCTCAATTCATCCTTTCTCCAATTTAAATGACAGTGCATGTTACTATGGCGGGTGAATTTACCTCTAGAAAGACCAAATACCCACTAGATTTGTACCTTAAATTAAATTATTAAAGTGTTTGAAGTGCTTAAAGATGCAAGTTGAAACAGAGGGAGGGGATGAGCACTACTATGAACAATTTGTGATGCAAAACTATGAAAGATTTCGATGGTTTCGAAGCAAATGAGGTTAGGGAAGATAGTGTTATAGTGAATGGGTCTGGGTTAGACTACGATACCTAATTGATATTGAATCATAGCGAGAATTGGTAGAATCTGGTATTGCAAGAGAACTAGTGAAGTAGAGATAAAAAGGGGTAAAGAAGTTGCACAAAGGAGGCAAAAGAGCAAAGGCTAAGAAGCAAGTAGAATCCCTAGACGCTCGAAAATTTAAATCTCAATTTATCATGTAATAATCCTCTAATACAAGACAAGCTCTTTTTTATACAACAACACCAACAACAACAAAGCCTTAATCCCACTACGTGGGGTCGGCTACATGAATCTTTTTTCTCGATTGCGTCCTATTTAGAGTCATATTTTCATTTAGTTCTAGTGAATTAAGATTATTTTTTATACAATAAGCCCAAGTTTTTCTAGGTTTACCTCTACCTTTCTGAACATAAGTCAAATCTAAAACATCTACTCTCCTAATCGGATTATCAGATGGTCGACGTTTAATGTGACCAAACCATCTAAGACGATTTTTTCTTATTTTGTCTGACACGGGAGCTACACCAACCCTATCACAAATATATTCATTTCTCATTTTGTCTCTTAAGTGTAAAGTCACTCATCCACCTAATCATTCTCATCTCGGCAACACTTAACTTATCATTATGTTTCCCTTTTAAAGGCCAACATTCAGCGCCATAGAGCATTGCAGGTCTCACCTCCGTCTTATAAAATTTTCCTTTTAGTCTAAGCGGTACTTTTCTATCACACAAAAGGCCCGAAGCATTCCTCCACTTCAACCAACTTGAATTCTACTATTAACATCCCCATCTATATCACCATCGCTTTGAACAACAGACCCAAGATATCTAAATCGTTCACACCTTTTAATAATTTGATCACCCAAAGTCACACTTTTGTCACTAGAGCTACTACTACTAAAATTACATTCCATGTATTCAGTTTTAGTTCTACTTAAATGCAGGCCTTTAGACTTCAATGTAAACCTCCACAATTCAAGTTTTTCCTGGGCTTTTTCTCTCGTTTTATCCATGAGAAGGATATCATCAGAAAAAACATACACCAAGGTACATCAGGTACATCATCCTGTAGATGTCCACTAAGACCATCCATAACTAAAGCAAAAAGATATTGACTTAAAGTTGATCCCTGATGTAATCCTATAGAAATAGGAAAATATTTGGTCAATCCTCCTTCAGTTTGAACACAAGTGAACACAAGTAAATACATATCTTTAATGACTTGAATATAAGTCATATCAACAC